ATATATATATATATATATATATATATATATAAAGAGAGAGAGAGGGGTGGAGGGGACAAATCAAATACAAACCTTGTAAAAGTTACAAACCATACAAGCTAATGTCAACCGTCCATCTTGTTTAACGAATATATGGTTTTATAAATATTTGGATTGTTTTTTAGTATAAAATGTTGATCACAATTAATAAACATTATTCATATTCCATAAATATTCAAATCACAATAAATAAAATTTAATTATTTTTATAAATATCTAAATTGATTGATTTATATGGTTTATAAGTTTATATTAAAATATGGATCAAGACAAAACATTATGTACAAGATAGTACTACTGATACAAATAAATGCATTATTCATAGGTGTGAAACATCGTTTAAATGGATTGCATGTCTTATGAAATTATATATTTTTTCAAACATGAAAATGATTTAATGGGTTAAATTATTAAATGAATTAATTGAAGACTCAATAAAGATAGTTTAGAATAAATTCGATGAATCAAAATAATAATAATAATAATAATAATAATAATAATAATAATAATAATAATAATAATAATATATAAAAAAGATACGTATTTTTGATCATCTTTAATCCTAAACTCATCAATGAATCAAGTTTGATACGTGATTAATCTAGTGCATTTTAATACATCTCACCCTAATATGTATCTAATGATGTAAATCTATTCTTACGTTTCTCAACTTAACTCTCATTCTTATCGAAAATCAACCATATATATATATATATATATATATATAGGGGAGCGTTCAAATAAAAACCACTCAATTTGTAAAAACCGTGAAAACCTTATTCAACCAATCATAATTTTTCATTTTGTTCATTTTTTTTGTAATTATAAGAGGTTGACTAACCATTTTTATTGTGGAGAGTGTTAATCATGGAAATTATCATCTTCATTATATTAATTTTAGAGAAATACATGAAACAGTTTCATTAAAATTTCATTAAGTAGTATATGAAACAATTTCATAACCATATATGAAACAACTTCATCAAAAAAAAGTATTATATGAAACAATTTCACAAGATTAACAATTTCATGAAAAAATTTCATAAGATTAACGATGGATGAGAGTAGTTTTTACGGTTTTTACAAATTGAAGTGGTTTTCATTTGATCGCTCCCCCTCTCTCTCTCTCTATATTGTTGTACAAATAAATTTGATGATAGATAAACAACAACTAATATTATATTTTATTGTCTAATAATTATTTTGGAAAAATGCTTCATAATCCATCCGTCCCTCCCTCCCTCTGTCCGTTCGTCCCTCCGTCCGTCCCTCCGTCCCTCCGTCGCACCCTCCCTTCGTCCGTCCGTCCCTCCGTCCCTCCGTCCGTCCATCCATCCGTCCCTCCGTCCCTTCGCCCCTCCCTCCCTCCGTCCGTCCCGCCGTCCGTCCCTACGTCCGTCCGCCCGCCCATCCGTCCTTCCGTCCGCCCGTCCGTCCCTCCGTCCGTCCCTCAGTCCGTCCGTCCGTCCCTCCCTCCGTCCCTCCCTCCGTCCGTCCGTCCCTCCGTTCGTCTCTCCCTCCGTCCGTCCGTCCGTCCGTCCCTTCGTCCGTCCCTCCGTCCGTCCCTCCCTTCGTCCGTCCGTCAGTCCCTCCCTTCGTCCGTCCGTCCGTCCTCGGTCCGTCCATCCGTCCGTCCTCTATCTATCTGTCTATCTATTTGTCTATCTGTCTATCTGTCTATCTATCTATGCATAGGAGAAAGACTTAGAAATTATCTTTTTTCTTTAATT